CGTTGCTCTGCAACGAGCTTTGCTCTAGTTTGATATGAAATTGTGAAGTTCATATAAATAAAGCTTCTAGCTGTCATATTATGTGTGACTTTTTGCCTTATATGTTGACACTTTTTTTCTGTGCAAGAAGTTATCGTAATTTTTGAACGGCTTTCGAACATAACTAGACTAAAATCACTTCCTAATTTTTTTTAATTTAGGGTATTCAATTTATAATCGCCATATAATCGCATAATCAAGATAAATAAATTTTCTGATATTTTAAATCAGAACACCTTTAAAATATTGGTTGGTTGCATACTTCCAACCATCTGACTAAAAATGGCCCAACTCAACACTACTTATTTTCATTCCAGGACATGACATTTTTTTTCTGATTATTCCTCTCATCAACTATGATGAAAATTTGTTGAAAAAAGATTTTACCATCTTCATATTGACTCTTTAATTTAACCCTGAGTTAAGAGAGGGCAAGCAAACATTAATTTAGAGGTAACCTCATGGTAGAATTTTACAGTTGTTATCAAATAAAAATACTCCATTGAAAGGATTTAAATATTATAATTGATAACTGTCCAATGTTCATTAATTGCACACAAAATTTTACATTGAAGTCAACATGTTCTATATGGGCATGACGTTGTAATGATTACTATTGCTTTAATTAACTCTATTTAAACACCTGAATGTTGTATGTAAGCTGACCACCCCTCAATCTGGGCTACTCTATCAGTGCACTCTCAAAACACTGTATTGCATAATATAGAAACCACAAAGGAGAAGCAACAAGACAGTTGGGATTGTTGACCTCCTATGACACCTCCCTGTGTACACACAATAAACAGGTGCTAAACCCCCGTTACCTCCTCAATGGAGAGATACCTTTCTTATTTAATAGCATTGTTCCTTAAAATTTCCTTTATCAAATTGTAAATTACATGTATATATACAAAAAAAAAATGAATAAATACCTTATGAGATTCAATGAAAGACACAGAAATAAATGTATCTGTATTTCTATCAGACATCATGACACATGTGTATAATTATAGTTATTTGATGTAGAATATTGTGGGTTTAAAAAAAGAAAGAGGTACTGTGAGCAAAGAGCTCACTAAATGATACCCCCCGCCTCCCATATGAATATAATGGCAGTGTCCACGTTTTTGCTCTGGAAAATCAAAAATATATGTCAGATCAAAAAGTAAAATAGAAGATGCACAATGGCAATATGTATTAAAGAATCTTTGAAAGTTTCATTAAATTTCCTTCAGTGGTATGAGAGGAGACGCGGATAAGAGATGGGTACCCTAAAGCGTAACAGACGGACGGACGTATAGCTAGACGGCGGACGGATGGAAATACCGATTACTATATACCCTCCCACTTTTCAAGCGGGGGATATAAAAAGATATTTCCTTTGTAACAATTGTACACTTCAATATTATGATTATATTATCCTACCCTCAATTCTTTAAGAATTGCATGTATGTGAAAAAAAGTTTTATAATAAAGATACCCTACTCTCAAGTAGTGGAAGTGTGTAAGTGGGAGAACGGTTTTAGATTATTTGCAGGCATATTATATCATCACTTTCTTTTCAAAACAGTTCAATAGGGTGACTGAATAATTTATAGCCATAATATTTTGAACCCCCTCCCTGTAAAATTAAATGGGTAGGGAACTCGATATTTTATGGCCATAATATTTTGAACCCCCTCCCTCATAAATCAAAAAAGCTGGGGGACACAATATTTTATGGCCATAATATTTTGAACCCACCTCCCTCTGAATTTAAATGGGTAGGGGCGCGATATTTTATGGCAATAATATTTTGACCCCCCCCTCCTTCTAAAATTAAAAAGGACAGGGGGACTCAATATTTTATGTCCATAATATTTTGAACCCCCTACCTCATGCATTAAAACAGCAAGTGGACTCAATATTTTATGGCCATAATATTTTGAACCCCCCTTCCTCTAAAATTGAATGGGCAGGGGGACTCTATATTTTACGGCCATAATATTTTGAACCCCCTTCCCTTAAAATTGAATGGGTTGGGAACACGATACTTTATAGTCATAATATTTTGAACCCCCTCCCTCTTAAACTAAATGGGCAGGGGGACTAAATATTTTGAACCCCCTCTATCTAAAATTAAATGGGTTGGGGACACGATATTTTATAGCCATAATATTTTGAACCCCTTCCCTCTAAAATTAAATGGGCAGGGGGACTCAATATTTTTTGGCCATAATATGTTGAACCCCCTCCCTGTAAAATTAAATGGGCAGGGAGATTCAATATTTTATGGCCATAATATTTTGAACCCATTCCCTCTTAAATTTAAAGGGCAGAGGGGTTCAATATTTTATGGCCATAATATTTTGAACCCCCTCCCTCATCAATTAAAAGAGCAGGGGGACTGGATATTTTATAGCCATAATATTTTGAACCCACTCCCTCTAAAATTAAATGGGTTTGGGACACGACATTTTATAGCCATAATATTCTGAACCCCCTCCCTGTAAAATTAAATGGGCAGGGGGTTCAATATTTTATGGCCATATTATTTGAACCCCCTCCCTGTAAAATTGAAAGGGCAGGGGAATCAATATTTTATGGCCATAATATTTTGACCCCCCTCCCTGTAAAATTAAAAGGACAGGGGGACTCAATATTTTATGGCCATAATATTTTCAACCCCGGGTTCAATATTTTATAGGGGGTGCAATATTTCGCAGCGATACTTTGAACCCGGGTTCAAAATATCGCGGGGTTCAATATATTATGTGACACCGGTCGTCCGGGGGGACTCTCAAGAGATAAAAACAGGGGATAGACATTGCCGGTGGACTCGGGTTTTTGATTCTAATGTTATAGGGTGTTTAATTCAATTCATGAAAAATTTCAGTAGGAATTTAGTAATTTTTGAATTAATTCATCAATTTTTTTTCTTATAGTGATTACTTGTTAATCTCGTATCACTATTAATTACCACAATTTATCGTAGGACGTTTATATTGGGTTAATCTCGATATTAAACGACTTAATGATTTTGTTACGGTTTGACTGAAAGTGAGTCTTGAAGTCTTTCCGTGTTAATAATTGACTATCTTTGATAGATCTTAGAAATTCAATCAATTTAAAGTATTTATTCAGTTGAGTTAATAGAAATATTCAAGCAGGAATTAAGACTAGGATTTGATATAGAAATAATAGAGATACATTTCTTGTTTTTAATAATTTGGTAGATTGTGTAGATTTGTTAAGGGAGAAATACTCTATATTATAAGGTATTTCTAGGAATTAATATATTCACTAATAGGGTCATTCTCGTTAGTGCGCCCCTCCCCCCTTAATCGTATTAATGTAATATGAAGCTTGTGTTAGAGTATTTCACTCTGATTTTGGGTGATTCCCGACTTCCAGTGAACTTTATTGTAAGTGAATATTAATTAATACAAATTGTGACATTTATTTATTGAATAAATTTGTAAACTTTAAATAAGGCTTATAATTTAACTTCCCCGTAATTTTATTTACAAGTCCAGACACTGGTTATTCTTGTGTTATTTTAGGAGATCTATATTTACGGGTTATTCTCATTAATCATCAGAGTACTACATGGGTTTATCATGTGTAGGTATTTGACAAGTACTTGTGCGTGAGATCCAAGCAGCTCAGGTCCGTTACAGTTAGAATGAAGTGACTCTGCTATTGTGCGATAGCAGAAATGTTGTATATCTGTCTGAAACATTACCTAACATTGAAGGGAACTAAAGTAATACATGTTCATTTTAACTGAGTGGTTAAAAGCTTCATGTTTAAGAATAAAACATTTCTATGCTATCGTCCTGTAAATTTTTCCTTGCTCAATCAGGTCACCTGGCTTGCTGCATGCATACTATCAGCTAACAATCAAATCTGTTATCAAGACTCACTGGATTGTCAGAATCAAGTATCCTATTAAATTGTCTCATAATAGCAATGGCGCTATTCAATGATAATGGATGAATTGTCTGTCAGTATAATCTTTGATAGATCTTAGGAATTCAATCAATTTAAAGTGATAATTCAGTTGAGTAAATAGAAATATTCAAGCAGGAATTAAGACTAGGACTTGACATAGAAATAATAGAGATACATTTCTTGTTTTAAATAATTTGGTAGATTGTGTAGATTTGTTAAGGGAGAAATACTCTATATTTTAAGGTAACTCTAGGATTTAATATATTCACTAATCGGGTCATTCTCGTTTAGTGCGCCCCTTCCCCCTTTAATCTTATAAATGAAATATGAAGCTTATGTTATAGTATTTCACTGTGATTTTGGGTGATTCCCGACTTCCAGTGAACTTTATTGTAAGTGAATATTAATTAATTCATATTGTGACATTTATTTATTGAATAAATTTGTAAACTTTAAATAAGGCTTATCACTTAACTTCCCCGTAATTTTATTTACAAGTCCAGACATAGGTAATTCTTGTGTTATTTTAGGAGACCTATATTTACGGGTTAATTATTCTCATTAATCATCAGAGTACTACATGGTTTATTCCCGTGTAGGTATTTGACAAGTACTTGTGCGTGAGATCCAAGCAGCTCAGGTCCGTTACAGTTAGAATGAAAAGACTCTGCTATTGTGCGATAGCAGAAATGTTGTATATCTGTCTTAAACATTACCTAACATTGAAGGAAACTAAAGTAATATATGTTCATTTTAACTGAGTGGTTAAACGCTTCATGTTTAAGAATAAAACATGTCTATGCTATCGTCCTGTAAATTTTTCCTAGCTCAAACAGGTCACCTGGCTTGCTGCATGCATAATATCAGCTTACAATCAAATCTGTTATCAAGACTCACTGGATTGTGAGAATCAAGTATCCTATTAAATTGTTTCATTATAGCAATGGAGCTATTCAATGATTATGGATGTATTGTCTGTCAGTATAATTTCTAAATAAAGGTTTGAGTCAGCCCTTGTAAACTGTTACCTCCATGTAGAACCATCAAGAGGACGTTAGTGTTACAGCCTGCGGAGGGGGGAGGGGATATCTCCTTATTCTGCTCTACATTGAAATGCTGCTGGCGGAAGTGTTCCATCTTTTTCACAAGGGACGTGTCTGTTGAGAAGAAACATAGATGATACTGACCCAGCTTCTAAAAAATCTTAATACTATATATAACATGTTATAACCAAAAGAAAATTTGTCATACTGTAAAACAAGAATATTTGGTGCACTGCTAATTTCAGCAGCTTTGGCACAAGAGCCCCTGAATGCTAAAATTTATGGTGCGCTTATGAATTTCTAAATTTAATTTTGGATTTGTGTATGATCTTCAAAGCTTTCACAAAGTACAGGAAAACCGGAGAGGGCAATTATGTTATGTCGTAGGGTCGTTGAAGTTTATATACACACAAGCACTGTACATGGTGGGATCGATGAAGAAAGTTCTGCCAAAACATAATTTAATTAAACTATTGTTAGCTATTATCCAGCACTTATCATTTGCACCCTCAAAGTTTGGCTTCTCAGCATGTCAATCATTTTTCACCTTGAGGTAAACAATTGCAATCAAGCATGGCGATTGGGCTTTCAGACAATACCTGATTATGATAATCGTTCATACAAGTAACTTTCTTTCGATGTATGCATTGATTTAATGTGAATAAAATGCGTAAATTCTCCATTTTTTTTTTTTACTTGAAATTAAAATAAAATAAAATTTAATATTGTGCCACGTCTATGTAATTGCAATAACAAGGTAAAGTTGACGAATGTTTACTTATAAACGGGAGTGTTTTTGTGTTTCCGTGCTTGACTAACAAAAAAGTCACAAACGGGCTTGGATAAAAAAAATATCACAATTATAAATTACATTTTTATGACAAGTGCAAGCGCTAAAATTTATTTGCGCCAATGTATTCCCAATTGCGTTTGCGCTACAATACATATGCGCCAATTTTTTCTCGTTTTACAGTAATCGAAATTTTACAATTCTTCTAATGAACAATGAACAGTAAAAATATATGGTCACTTTATCTCTACAATGAATAGTCTCTGATTGAAAGCTGTTGCTCTTCATATTGTTACCTATCTTGTCCTCGGACGTGTTGGACCGAGCATCAGCGTACTCGTCTCCACTCGTCACCATTTCTGACAGAGGATCCTGCTTCTCTTCTTCATCTGCAAAATAAAACAGAAATTATTAGCGTAGAAGTTATGTTAATTGTTATTTTTAAAATAAGATACCAATATTGACCAATTTTTGGACATTTTTTTTTATATATATTTTTAAAAATAGTAATTAAGATATATCTGATATATAATATCTGAGATTTAGTGTTAAATCATTCTAGTAGGACCAGCTGATTCTTGTCTGTACGTAGAGTGAACACTACTTTCAAGGCTGCTCTTATATATAAAAAAAATGCCATAAATATTTAAGATACTTTTCTGCAAAGTTCTTTAAACTTCTTGCATAAATATGAAATCGTTTTATAATTCTATGACTTCTATCTATTTATCTTTAAAATCGAAGCAGATAAGCTACAGGTATTTGAAATCTTAGTTTTTCTGTTTTTTTTCTTTTGTCCATCAAAAGCAACAAATTAGATAGAATAAAATGTTTGGGAACACATATTCACATTCTTTTCTTTCAGGAAAAAAAGAGCAAAAGAAAAAAAAAATCCCCAAAACACAAAACAATACAAGAGGCCCATGGTCCTTATTGGTCACCTGAGCATTATTTAACAACTTTCCAGTTATTGAATTTGATTCTTGCTTTAAGCCAGATGCTATGGCATTCATAAATTTGAAAAAGGCACCATTGATCATCATAACAACACACTTAGCAGTTGCTTAGCTTGGTTACTTAATACCTATAGGCAGGGTAGGGGAATAAAAAATGCATTTCAACTAATCAGTAATATTCAGTAATTATCAGTAGTGCCCTTACCACACATGAACGCCTGACCCTAAGGCCTAGATCAACACACTGCACAATTTTTGAAAAGGCATCCTTGCTTTTCAAAAATATTTGATTAATACCAAGGAGCAGATTTCAAACAATTCAAACATTTTCAGTACATAAGTACAGCCTCCCCCCCCCCCCCCCCCCCTCTATGGTACCCTGACCCTGAAGCCACAATTCTGCAAATTAAGCCCTTGCTCAAATATCACAATTTTCTTTAATGTATTTTCAAGATTAAAGCCCTTGCTCATTTTGATAACTATATAGGTAGTTCATCTGCCTTCGATTATAACATACCCAGGGACAGAGAAGATTTTCAAAGAAAGTTTTCAATAGATTTAATGTATTTTCACTTCTATAATCAATATTTAATAACCTAGAGCAGAGAAGAAAATTTTCAAGGAATTCATGCATTTTCACTATATAATCACCAAAACCCCTGCCCCTGAGGCCATAAAATTCACAATTTTGGAAGTGGTACTCTTGCTCATCAAAACTATGTACTTAGTTTATTTAATACCTAGGAGCAGAGAAGAAAATTTTCAAAGAATTCATGTATTTTCACAATATAATCAATAGAGCCCAGCCCTAACAACAGAACCCCTGACCCTGGGGCCATAAAATTCACAATTTTGGTAGAGGACTCAATGCTGATTACAATCATTTAAACGGTTTGACTGCTTGATGTCCAGGAGTAAACAAGAAGATTTTTAAAGATTGCATTATTTATAGTGGTTTTGGCCCCAATTCTCAGGCCCCAGGGGGGCAGGGATCATGAAATTCACAATTTTTGTTCTCCTTTACCCATAAATGCTTTGTGCCAAATTTGGTTGAAATTCGTTCAGTCGTTGCAGAGAAGAAGCTGTAAATGTTCAAATATTAACACACGACGGACGACGGACGACGCACGACGGACGACAACGGACAAAAACGGATAGCAATAGGTCACCTGAGTTTACTCCTAAAAATTCATCTATTATAGTGCTAAGAATTCAGGATTTAACTGAGAACTTTTAAGCACAAAAGGTTTTTTTTAACTAATAAACCTTTCATGAAAATTCATGTATCTGCATGGATAATGCAAGGTCTTTGAGGAATGGTACACAGTGTACAGTGTATATGCTGAAAATATTAAAGTATAAATTAATCTCAAACCTTTTGATTCCTTTTCTCTTCGCAATTCAATTAAAGGTATGGATTCTGTTGAGAAATTAAAGAAATGTAATAATAATCATATACACACATGAATGTGTTCATTCTACGAGAGCGTTTACGTACTTTACGCGAAAATTAAAATCGGGTAAAAAAAAAAACGGTTAAAAAGGCCGGTCGTGTTGATAATGCATGTAGCAGGAAATGAAATTAACAATGAATTTACAGATTTAAAAAAAAGTCCTATTTTCAATTTTATTTAGTGATTTTGTTTCTCTTGTTTTACATGTATACCCTTGTATGTATTGCTACAACGTACTTTGAAAAATTACGCACTTTGATTTTTTTTAAAAGTGCGTTTAATTTGGAACTAATCAACGCACTTTGAAAAAAATAAAATAAATTTCTTTTCAATGTGCGTTAATATCAACAATATAAACGCACTTTGAAAAAAAAATGTGTATGGTTTGGTCAATATTCTTGCAAATCTTAGGTATTATGAATAATTGACCCTGTTTGATAACTCTTCAGTGATGAGGTCACATCAGGATATGAAAGTAAGTGATTAAGATTTTTCCATACTTTTAAATTTATTTCTCTTTTAAATGTTTACTGTACTTAATTTTTTTTCAGTTTGCATGCATTTTATGAAAACTAAAATTTATTGAAAGTTTTCAACATCATACCAGTATTGAATAAACATATATTTGAGTGTAGATTAAGCATCGGTAACCAGAGGGTTGGTTGGGAGGGTTAGGCACAAAAATGTTGAAACGATTTTCATAATACAGACATTTCAATTTTGGGCTTAGCTTTGAAGGGGAGGGTCCACTTTTAATTTGCTACCAACGGCTATATACAAAGTATAAGAGAAAAAAAGAGTCAAATTGAGAGACCGTCTACTCGTCTGCTCCTTGTTCTCAATAGAGAAACACCGACATCTTACGAACGAACGTAACTTTCCGTATCTCGATAGTTTTCTCGGGACCAGCGATTGTACCCATGTAAAGTTTTAAATCGGAAGAATGAAGTATATGTGTAAAATACAATGGATAGTCTTTTAACCACTTTGTATTTGAAAATTGTTCGTGTCATTTTTTTGTAATTACTTACAATGTTTTAAAAAAGCAAAGAAAGGGAAGAAAATACATTATAATACTTTAGACGGATTAGGAAACACGTTTGTCATGCGTCAGTGATTAAACGTATACAAACTACTCGTAGTGTGCGCCTTGTTCCTATGGGGAAAGGTTACTTTTTACAGCTTGAAAAGAAATCCGTGCAATCAGGTAAAAAGGTAGTGTGCTTTATATAGTGTCTTGTAGAGAGAGAGAGAGAGAGAGAGAGAGAGAGAGAGAGAGAGAGAGAGAGAGAGATATTCTTTTTTTGAATTTATTGAAATATCACTTCAAAGAAATAAACGAGCATTCATTGTAGACAGTATTTTCTTAGATGATGTACTAAATGGTGATGTTAACTAAATTATCTTGGGCTGCTTTTATTTTATATATGTCTGAAGCAAGCAATTTTAGTTTGGGGGGGGGGGGGGCAACCAAAAGTTTAGTCACTGTACCGGACTTCTAAAAGTGTTTATTATTTAAAAACGTAGCTGTCACTTAGTTGTCATGGCATCCTTCAAAAGTATGTGCACACATATGCTTATCACAAGTGCTTGTAGATAAAACAACTTCCCCACCCCTACCCCCAATATACATACCGGTCCAAAGATATTCATCTCGGATTTATATATATTCCAGGGGCTGGGGGAGGGGGGGGGCATAGGTCCCATGATGGCATGCTAATATGGAACTTGCTCTCATTAATCTTAAATAATTATGTCAAAAACACAATTCACTAAACTTCCATTTTTGCGCTGACCCCCCCCCCCCCCCCGAAAGTTGGGGATATTAATTTCGGTCTGCCCGTTCGTCTTATAATTCTTTCCGTCTGTTACACTTTTGTTTAGAGCATTATCTCGATAAGCCTTTGAGCTTTTACAGTGAAATTAAAAATTAGCTATGGGTCTGGGATGTTAAAGGGGGGGAGGTCCAGTCGACTAGCACCCATGAGAATAATATGAAGATTTTAAGATACATGTTTGTAAGAAGAAGCTTTATCAACCGACAAATTACGAACGGGAATCCCCCTGGATTAATGATATGGCTATAATACCTGTGTAATAAAGCCATATTGATTTTATTTTTCGCAGTATATGGTATTTCGACCAAGAATTTCCTTAAAGTTTCCGGGTTTTTGCAATTTAATTTTGGACCATAACTCCATTTTGTCCCGACCGCCCTTCGTAAAGTACCCCACCCCCCTCTTTAGATCCCTACTAAATCCGCGCATACTATTATTTTTTATGTCATGTCACAGAATGACATATTTCAAAATGTTCCTTTTATTTCCCTTCTCGAACCCCTTTGCTCGTTTAAATGTCCATTGAATTGTATTGTAGCGTCACGGTAGAGACTCAATCGCATCATCTCGGGTCTTTCCGTCAGAGGCCGGAAAACAACCTCGAATGTATCAACATCGCCGGATGTTAAAAATTTATACATTTCCTGTTTAGTCAAATGTAGGATAGGGGGAGTTAGAAGTCTCTTCTATGGTATATTTTAGGTAATATCATTACATCGAATAAAGTTGAACTTCATATTCCACAGATAAAAGTTCTCCATGCATTTATTTCAAAGATCGTGAAAAAGGAGGGTTGTCATGGCGTCTACCATATACATTCGAGGTCGTTTTTCCGCTAGTCGGAAAGGCCCGAGAAGTTGCGATTGGGTAGAGACTACGACAAGATGTGGCTTTGAGGTATCTTGTGGGGATTTTATCTATCAAAATTCCAATAACATTGAAGAATTCAATAATCCAACCGTGAATACAATAGACTACAATGACTTGTCCCCGTTTTTTATTTCGTTCGTTCGTAAGATTTCGGTGTTTCTCTAATGAAGATAAATGATTTTACAGTGAACATGTAAATTATCAAGTTTTTCGAAAGATATAATCATTACAAATTGATTCTCTCAATTACTAAAACCTAAATCTATAATTTTTTGTTTATTCCTTTTTAATCAAAGTGCTTTAAATGTCCCCATTGTAAAAAATGTTGATGTACACTCTTACATGTAACGCACTTTGAAAAAAAATCCCGTTCAGTGAAGCCCAAATGTAACGCACTTTAAAAAAATAATAAAGTGCGTTGATTTTGTCCGAATTTTAACACACTTCGAAATTTTTTTTCGATCGATATTTGGAGTACGGAAGCCTAATTATGCAAAATAGAAAGCAAATCGAAGTTATGGAATAAAGAAAACAACATTATTAAATAAGGAAAAACGAAATTCTTGAATAAAGAAAACGACATTATAGGGTAAGGAAAAAAATCGAAATCATTGAATAAAGAAAACAAACATTTTAAAAGAAACACTAAAACTAAAATACGGACTTTATAGATATGCATCATAAGGGCCTGAACCCATGAATCATTCCATAAAGCACATATGTTATAAAGCATACCATTTTTAGACCTGATTTTGTTTCGACATCGTGTGGGAAAATGAACAATTATGAATTAGATAAATCTCAAACTGACAACGTAGAAAAAAAGTGTATGCAGCCCAAAATTTGCATTCTGTGAAAAATTCATTTCTGTTCAATTTCTACGGGAATTTATTGCTGTGTCGCTCCCCACAACGTCAAAGTTGTTTGGACATGTCGAAGATGGCTGTTGCTTAAAATTAATGACAAGATCGCTAGAAGGTTAAGACCTTATGTATCGTATTACGGAATTCCCCACTACTTAATCTAGCGTCCTATTTGTGTGTCTATTAATCTTAGGTTGTGGAAACAATAAATGGAAAAATAATTTGATAACTTTGTGCGGTTTGTAATATGCTAGTTTTTGCTAATATTACTGACTCATAAACACAGTTTGAGAAGTTGTCATATAGAATATATGAAAAAAAGTACATGTACTAGTACTTAGTACATCAATTCTCATTATGCTTAAATAAAGTTACCAAGAAATCGGAAGTGTTTTGTTTTAACAAGCGATCATTATAATCTACTTATAGTAACCACTTTTACTTGTTTAATTTTTGCACCTGTTCTCTCTATACAATTTTCATTACGTCAAAAAACCCAGATTATTAAATTATTTTGTTTTCCTTTATTTAATAATTTCGTTTTTCTTTATTTAGTAATATCCTTTTTCTTTATTTTATAATTCCTTTTTTTTTTCTTTATTTAAAGATTTCATTTTTTTTTTGTTTATTTACTGATTTCCGTTTTCTTTATTTTATTATTTCGTTTTTATTCATTTATTTTTGGTTTGCACTATTGGGCTTCCATACAAATGAATAGAAGATGCGAAAGGAAGTGTACAGTGTATTTATACCGGTCTTTAATGTTTTAACTTGGACTTGTGGTGATATATAAATATTTATGTTGAGTTCTTAAGGTAACAAAATTTCTGAACGGAACACAAAGGAGACAACATTTAGATTTTATTTTATTTCATATGCATCCATGTCTATGGAGAAGGTCCTATACCAAATAATTAAAATCAAACAAAATCATACGAAAGATTTTAAAATCAAATTTTTTGTTCATGTAAATAACAAATCTTATGTAATATGTAAACAATATCACTTTATGTGTTTAAATGATTTCTGTTTCTAATACAAAAAAAAAAAAAATATTCAAAATATTCAACAAAAATTTGATATCGAACCTGTTGATCCTTCCTCTCTCCCTTGTGGTAAATCTTTCAATTCTGTACAGAAATAAAAGGCAGGTTAAGTAAACAAATACATATAACACTTTTTCTAGAACTGTTACAGTATGTTTATTTACTTAACGAAAAAGTAAATTCCTCATTTAACGTTGCTATTAATGATAAAAGACATTTTAAAAAAAGGAAGCGGGCTAAAATATTTGTTAATGTCAATTCTGATGTTCAGAGCAGAAAATTGCTTGGTAAATGTAAGAAGATCGTGCGAATTAATTTGTATATCATAACTTAGTAAGAGTCAGTAATTCCCCTGCCCTCACTTTCATTTTCAGAGGTTCCCGCAGACAGATGCATATTGCTAGAAAACGAATCTGACATGCCATCTCGAAATTGTAACCAAAAAAAAAACAACTTGATTTGTTTTGATTTGAGGAGTCACTAACTGCTGAACAAAAATTATAGACATTACTTGAATGAAAGTGTCTGTTTGTCTTTCTAATTAGAGGATGCATCTAAAAATATATTTTATAAATAACTTTTTATCTTTAAATGTTTTAATTGGTTTTGCAATTTTTGGTGAATTATTATGGACAGTTTACCGCATTACTTGTTCAGGTTAAATTCAGGGCACATTTCATCGTGTGAAAGTTACGATGACAGAAATAAAACAGGTGACTGTTAGAAGGTAGCGGGTTTCTATATTACCAGTATATTTTGAGGAAACACATTGCTTTTGAGGTCACATAAAATCAATTCATTCAAGACAGCTTAAAAAATATCTACGTTTGATTTCTTGGAACAATGGTACACTGATACCCCTAAAGGAGATTAGGTTGAGGGTCAAACTATTTCATACAAATAATATATTTAATCAATATCTATAAAAGTTAAAAGACCCCGTTTGCTAAACAAACTTCTATATCAAGATACTAACATCCTCTAGAGAGAAAATGACTGTCTATGTCAAAGGTCAAATTCATTTTCATAGGCATTTATCTTCTTTATAGTGAGTACCATTTTCTTGAGACATCAAACTTTGCTTACTTGTATTTCATGCAAAGGAATTGAACCTTTTATGATACGACAGTTCGATTCAGATCAATCTTTGGGTTCTTTGCTCCGATTGCGTGTGGATCTTTTTATCAGTATCATTTAGATAATTGAGGTTGTAAAAATATTATGCATTGCTTTTATTTCAAAGTGTTTTGTTTTCATTTAATTGTTATAATACATATTTTTGTTTCTTTTCCCTTTCAGTTTGGGATAAGAAAAAAAAATCTGTAGCATTATAATGAAGATGCCAGATGGAAACCATTCATGATTAAATATATATATATATATTTTTTTTTTTGGACATTTTAAAATTATAGGTAACGATCAGCATTTTAGGAATTTTATTGTTGCTTAATGATACCTATTTCTGTATATTCAAATTGAAAAAAGAACAACTTGATGAAGTCAACATGCAAGCTAACCTTCCTACAGTGCCTAAAGTAAAAAAAAAATGTTTAGTGAGCCTCTGAGGTAGCTTAAGAAGAACTAGTGTTCATTGTAACGGGGACCGTTACAGATGTTCCCCAAACGGTTTCCGAGTCCCTTTTTGTGTTCAGTTCCTGCAAGACATTTTTTTGAAAATATGATCAGTATCAAAGGATTTCACCAAAGATTATTAAAGCTACAATGATGTCAAATATATGTCATTTAACGCATTGTATGCGCACCCACGTTCAAACAATGTTCAAAATTTCAAAGGATTTGTCAAAAAACAAGAAAGATTTAGTTTCATCCAATCAGAGGAAAGCGCACGTGCATGCGCGTAAGATCTTGCTATTTTGCACGATGGCCGATAACAGCCTGTCTAAAGTAGAATTTCAAGACCTATAATTTTGTCTTTTGTACATGGAATTTGTACAGGTACAAAAATATAAAAAAAAAAGTCGACACAGCCTATATTTTTGTCCAATGTACATGTACATTTCTAGAAATTTGTACATGTACAAAAATATAAAAAGTTCTTTCGCAAAAAGTCAAAATGTACATGTACGATTCTTAAAAGTTGACAATCAAATTCATGGCGGTATATACAAAAGATATTGTCACTATAACTACAATTACAAGTACTCCCTAATGTAAGACTAAAATTTTTCCCAGGATTAATAATAATATTGATAATAATGACAAAAAAAAAAAAAAGTAAAAACAATATGCTCCCAAACTTCGTTAATGTAGCTTATCATTTAATGACTGATTTAAAATAAAATCTTTAAGATGTACTGAATACACAATTTTTGAATTTTTTTTTTTTTTTTTTTTTTGAATTAATTTATTTCATTTTAATTTTTTGCAATTATGTAATGTCGTAGGGTCGTTGGATTTTATATACACACAAGCACTGTACATGTTGGGATCGATGAAGAAAGTTCTGCCAAAACATAATTTAATTAAACTATTGTTAGCTGTTACCCAATACTTATCATTTGCACCCTCAAAGTTTGGCTTCTCAGCATATCAATCATTTTCACCTTGAGGTAAACAATTGCAATCAAGCATGGCGATTGGGCTTTAAGACAATACCTGATTATGATAACCGTTCATCCAAGTAACTTTCTTTCGATGCATGCATTGTTTTAATGTGAATGAAATGCGTAAATTCTCCATTTCTTTTACTTGAAATTAAATTAAGATAAAAGAACAAAGTACAGTATTGGCCAAAAAATGCCGACTGTCAGACCTGCTCCGTTCAAAACATTTTAAATAGCTTAGAATTTTTAGAATTAAATGATATATAAGTGATATTCCTGATTCAAAAGTATGCATTGGTAAAAAAAAAAAAAGCTCAACTGTACTTTTTACAGCAGAAGGTCGAGATTTTACGAAGAATTTTGACGCGACGTTATACGTTTAACGTGTAGTAAGCGAATCTGAAAATCCTAACTTACTCGCTAGGACACAGTTTATATTAAATATAGATTTAAGAAATTAAGTTGTTAATTTATTAATTCGTCATTGTTGTTTTGTTTTTGCTTTTTTTGTTTTGTATTTATTTATTATCATTATTACTTGCAATGTAATCATCCATGTAAGTTCCCCGATTTAGTTGATGAGAATTATTAAAAGTCCAACAGAGGAACGATGAGAAAAAGAAATAAACTGTCTGTTTGCTTTCATGTTATTGCAGTGATTATACGGTTTGAATAATACAAAAAATAGCTATTTCTCTTAAATAAATTGATGAAAATTTCTACATCAAATGTAGTAAAAAAAAATGTACTGATAAAAAAATCGATGTTTCCCTGGCATTAAAAATGTTCAATTCTCAAGAAAATGGTATACAAGGTGCAAGAACAGAAAACTCGAATGTCAAGATGATATAATTTATATTACAATTATTGGATTATAGTATAGAAGACTATGGTTATATTTAATGTACAGGAGAAATCCCCCCTCTAATGGTCAATTTATAGAAATGCGAGGGATTTCGATCCCGATTAAAACAAGCTAATTCAGAGAATTTGTGTCCCCCACTTAGGGAAAAAGTAAACCAGTTCGGGGGGAGGGGGGGGGGTTCGGATCCCCTTAAATGAATTCGTAGAATTATTAAATGTATACATGTATACTGAAGCAAATGAAATATGCAAATATGAATATAAAGGTTTGATTGCTAATTCTTTATTATGTGTATTGAAGAGTCTTTATATATGGAATATTTATCACACTGTTATGATGATTTTATGAGTTTGTACAAGCCAGACCTCATAAATTTTTCATTGCACATGCTGACTACTATCATTTAGTAAAAAAAACCTATTTCGAAAAAAAAAAAGATTAGATCAACGGGGATGCGAATCCAGGCTCTCTTACATGTGAAGCGAGAGACATAACCACTACACCACGGCGCCGCTTTAAACTAGCGTAAATTTTATGCAAAGATGAAGTCACATACATGTATATATTCACGTTTGATATTGTCAAAACTTTACACAATGTATGGTGTCTTATTTAACATTCATTAAACAGTTCTATTAGATGTAATAAGAATATAAAGTCCACGGAGAACCTGTTTTATACGTAATAACTCGCCTCATGCCCCTGTCCTAAAAATAGCGACATGTAATACAATAAATACTGATAAACAAGCGGGGCGGGACACTTTGAGAGGGGTGAGAGAGGTCCTAGGGAGTTTTGGTATAACATTTACATTGCAAAAGCTCAAAATCATCTTAAAATATCGCCCGGAAAAGATAGTGTTTCATACAGACAGAATGTATAAATTTACGACCTTGAACTTTGACCTTTTGACCCCAAAATCAATACAGGTCTTCCTTAGGACACAGGGAATTGTTATGTAAAATTTCATTGCAAAATCTCAAAGGGTTCTCGAGATATCGCGCGGAAACGAAAGTGTTATAACAGACAGAATTTGCGAATTTATGACCTTGACCTTTTACCTTTTGACCTCAAAATCAATAAGGGTCTTCTTCAGTCCACAGGGAGTTGCTAAGCAAAATTTCATTGCGAAAGCTCAAAGGGTTCTCGAGATATCGTGTGGAAACGAAAGCGTTACAGACAGACAGAAAGACGGACGGACGGACGGACAGACCCAAATTAATATCCCCCACTTTTCAAGCGGGGGACAAAAAAATATAAGCACTGTTAAAATCAGATAATGGGTACGTGAAATCGATTGTTTCTGAGATATATTCATTTATATCCTGCTTGATGACAGAGGTATACGTACAATTTAAATGTAACCCACCCCAACCCCAACCCCCCACCCCAATTGAGCTTAATGAGGTCTTATCATTTATATATTTTTGTTTTGATAAGACGTGCAAAATAATATTTGATAAGACTGAAAATGAATAAACAGTAAATGTTTTGATTCAGAAGTGTTTTTTTTTTGGGGGGAGTGGGGGGGGGTTGGGGGGTGGTGGGGGTGGGGGGTTATAAATCGGACTTTCAGTTCAGACTGAATAACATAACAGGCATTCTTTCAATTCGCTCAAAAAGTTTTATAAACCTTATC